ACTCCTTTATTCACTTGAAGAGTAAAAAATATGCAATTTTTAGTTCATGTTAATGCTCTTATCTTTAAATTACTTTATATTCTAAATCAATGTTAATGATGATGAGTGCTGAGTACCTAAAGGGCAGAAGTAATATGCAGCTGTTGTCAAAATGTCAGTGTGTTTTTTAGCCTAACACTGAAAATTAATTTAATGTTTTTTAAAAAACTTAAACATCATTAAAAGTAGTTTTAGTGCTAGAAATAGTGTAGTAGTGGTAGTAATAAGAGGTAAAATTAGATAATGATTATAATTTATTCTACACTTACTATGTGCTAGAAACTTTGCTAAGAACTTTACATTTAATAATACATTAAATCCTCACCGTAATCTTATGAGGTTGTCATTATTATTCATGTAATAATGAGGAATTTGAGATTCACAGATGTAAAATAATTTTTCAAGATTTACACTTGTAAGTGGACTCCAGCCTAGACTATCTTTCCAAGGCCTTGCTTGTAACCACTATGAAAGACAGACTTACATATTGTAATTGGTAATTCTTGTAGTATTTTTATTTCCTCTTTAAAAATATGGTAACAGAGCAAAGGATTGTTTCAGAAAGTTTGCAAGTTGTAAACAGCAAACCCAGAACCATAACCCAAGTACTAATATTCTGATCCAAGGGTCTTTCTACTACCCTCCCCTGCCTTCCTATGTGTTCACATACAATATTGTCTTTTGCTTTATTTTAGAGCCTTAGATTATTTTCATTTAATATGTATATCTCACATATTACTGAGGAATTTTCACATTTATATTTGGACATTTAAATTAATTCATCTAGAAATTTGAAAGCTTCTAAAATGCCAGTGGAATGATTGGAAACTAGTGATTTTTGAATAAAAGAGCTTTTGACTATACAAATGAATGAACCAGAAAAGTGCAGCTGTGTTTAGAAAGAGGCTTTCTAATAGTCCAAGGCAGAATTTATTAGGTATTCCCTCGTAATGAGTTCCATATAATATTCTCTCAGCTAGTAAGTTAAAGATCATCTTTGTAGCCGACAAGCCTATAGATTCTGACATATATTTTTTAAAAAGCTTACATTTGTTAGTAAAGCAAGCAGATAAGATGCTGCTATTGTGTGGCTAATTGGTGTCCTAAGGAAGAGATTTCTAAAATCTAGATGGCATGAGATTGAAGCAGACGATGTTTACTATTGGTCAATGCCATTTTCTTCCTGCTACATTTCCAACTCTAATAAACATATAAAAGAACATCCATGAGAATATACAATAAGCTGAGCTGAGCTTTTTCAAAAGCTAAAATTATTTGCCTCTGTATCTTGTTTAGCATTTCACAAAATGCTGTTTCTGTTATGTGTCAACAATGGCATAGGGTGAGGCAATGCTAACTGAGTAATAAAATCCCTGTTTGATGAGGTAATTGAGAAAGGACCTGTAGTTGGACTGCAATTCTTGCTACACCATGGAGAGCTCTGCCTCCTTTCTCTGCCTCGCTATGAATGATATTAGTTGAACTCCAATTGCCTCAGGCTGCAATTTGGGATTTACTAAAAATTGTTGTAAGTTATAGGATTACGATCAGATGGGAGTTTTTATTTAAGAAACAAACATTAGGTAAAGGGCATTACATTATCAGCTAAGGAAAATTTGCTTTACTGCTCATTATTCCCATTAACTAGGGAACAAATTCATATAGTGCTTTAACATTTTCTATTATAATATTTCTGCTTGTTACAATTCATTTTTCATTTAATTAGCATCTAGATTCAAAATTGTATGACCTATAGTAAAATGACCTTTATTTACCTTTATTGAAGTATTTCTTATTCATTTTTCTTTAAGACAGGTGTTTTTCTTTTAGACAAATAATTGATTTAGTTTGTTCTTATGCTTTTAAATATGAATTATATTCTGATTTATATTGTAGTGATTTGCATATTTAGCATAAATATGCAAAATACTATATTGATTGTTATTTAAGAATGAGACTTATATTTTATTCCTCTTTATAATTTTGGGTAACACAAAGCCTTTAACATATTAAATACCTAATAAGGATTTACTGATTCACAATTTTTTGTTTTGTAATCAACTCTGAGAAGGCTTAGAAAGGACTGTCTTGGGTGTGATATGTGAAATTTGAGAAATTTAAAAATACTTATGGCAGTAAGAATGCACTTATTAGTTGGAGTACAGAAATTTCAACTGAAATGGGATTCATTAATTTTCTTATTATTCTTGCTGGTTAAGGGAAAAGTAAAGTAACATGTATGCATATGTATAATACACATGTGTATGTAGAGAGAATGCACAATGTATAAAAACATAAAATATCAAGTTTTTATGTCCTTACACACACTAAGAGTATAACAAACCTTGAATATTACATCCATATTGCCCATTAATATTAGTAACAAGTAAGTCTGTAAAATATTTTTACTCCTTCTATCACCATTAATCCCAGCCTTACCCTCTTCTATCTCTGCCACCCCCATTTTGCCCTGGTAATCACCCTACTGTTGTCTGTGTCTGAGTTTTTTTCTTTGCTTAATCCCTTGACATTCTTCACCAAACTCCCAACCTGCTTTATTCTCTGTGACAGCTGTCAATCTGTTCTCTATATCCACGAGTCTGTTTCTATTTTGTTTGGTTGCTTATTTTGTTCATTAGATTCCACATATTGAAATCATATGGTACTTGTCCTTCTCTGACTGGTGTATTTCACTTAGCGTAATACTTTCCAGGCCCATCCAAGCTGTCACCAAAGGTTAAGATTTCCTTCTTTGCCATGGCTGAGTGGTATCTCATTGTGTAAATATATCACAGCTTTTTTTATCTACTCATCTACAGATGGGCACTTGGGCTGCTATCAAATCTTGGCTATTGCAAGGCTATCTTATAAAATAGAAGGAAAAATTAAGAGCTTCTAAGACAGGGAAAAAACCAGTAATGTTAAAGAAAAAACTAAAGGAGATTGTTACTACCAAAACAAAAATGTTAAATGTTCTCCTTTAAGAAAAAGAAGAAAAAACAAACAAGGAACATAGTTAAATGAGTAAAATGGCAATATTACATACCTAGCAATAATCATTTTAAATGTAAATGGCTTAAATGCTTCAATCAAAAGGCATAGGGAGCTGAATGGGTAAGAAAACAGAACTCACATATACTGTCTACAAGAGATCCACCTCAGAAGGAGAGATACACACAGACTGAAAGTAAATGGATGGAAAAAGATATTCCATGCAAAAAGAAATAAAATAAAAGCCAGAATAGCAATGTTTATATCTGACAAATAGACTTTAAAACAAAGACTATAGTAAGAGGAAAAAGAAGAACACTATGTAATGATAAAGGGAGCAATCCCATAAGAGGATATAACTCTTGAAAACATTTAAGTACCCAACGTAAGACCACATACATATGTAAAGCAAACCTTGGTAGACATAAAGGGAGGGACCAACAGTTCCATAGACATAGTAGGGGATTTTACCACTCCACTGACATCAATGGATAGATAGATCTTCCAGACAGAAAAGCAACAAGGAAACAGCAGCTTTAAATGACACACTAAATCACATGGATTTAATTGATATTTTCAGAGCATCTCACCCCAAAACACTATGATATACATTCTTTTCAAGCGCACATGGAACATTTTCCAGGATAGACTACATGTAAGGCCACAAAAAAAGTTTCAATACATTTAAGAAGAGTGAAGTCAGATCAAGCATCTTTTCTGACCACAATTGTATGAAACTAGAAATCAATCACAGGGGAAAACAACTGAAAAACACACACAAAGACACAGAGGATAAATAACATGTTACTAAGGGAGAAATCAAAAGTTACCTTGCAACAAATGAAAATGAGAACACAACAACCCCAGATGTATGGGACATAGTGAAAGTAGCCTAAGAGGGAAATTCATAGCACCACAGGCCTATCTCAAGAAACAAGAAAAATCTCAACCAATCTAACTTTACACTTAAAGGAACTAGAAAAAGAACAACAAACAAAGCCCAAAGTGAGTAGAAGAAAAGAAATAATAAAGTTCAGAGAAGAAATACATGAAATAGACTCTAGAAAAAATACAAATGATCAATGAAACCAAGAGCTGGTTTTAGGAAAAGATGTTGAACAAACCATTGAAGCAGACTCATTAAGAAAAAAAGAGAGAGGACCCAAATAAATGAAATCAGAAATGAAAGAGAAGTAACAACTGACACCAAAGAAATACACAGGTTTGTAAGAAAAACATTACAAACAACTATTAAAGTCTTCAATAGAATAGCATTAAATTATATATCACAATTTATATAAACAATACTTAAACACATTTTATTATAGAATTGACCATACAAACAAAACTCTCCAAATAAATATATTTATTTGGTCGTATATTTATGTTATGTGAAATACTGATAGTTCTAATTTCAGCTTTGGAGAAATAAAAAGGTACTGTGATATTACTAGGAAATGGGAGTCTTAGAGACTATAAAGTGCCTATTTTCAGGTTGGAACAAGACGAACTCAGTAAATCTAGGTAGTCTAGACTTTTAGCAAAAAAGGACATACAAAGAACTCAGGCCTAACATACACAAAGATATTTACCTAATCTTTAATTTTTTTGTGACAAATTTAAAAATCATATTTAAATAAATGCGAAAAAATAAATGAATTAAGAAAAAATTTAAATTTTACTTAAAAATATGTAAGCATTTAAATAAAATAAGTTAAAAGTCTTAAATGATTATGGGCTCCCCTTATCCCCATCACCTCAACTCAAGTTACTTCTAGTAGTAGGGTATTTTCCTCTTGGTTTCTTAAATATGATGTAAAATCACATATCCTTTGCTATATTCCAATTTAAAATAGATGTCACTCTTTGTAAGGCACAATTATTGTGTATACTCTGTATCAGCAAAATGAAGTCCATGAAAATATATTTAGGTTTTAATGTGGGTTAAATACAATTTCTTTTATCAGAAATAGTCAATGTATCTAGCCTTTATTTTTATCTTATCAGAAGCCAGAATTCAGTATATTTACATAAATCCAGATATCCCTTTGCTTCAAAAATGATTACTGTGTTTTATTATCTGGCCTTTTGACAACACAGACACACTTTAAAATGAGCTGATTTTACAAATTAGTAAATTTCTAAACTTTATTTCTCCACAGAGCCCACATAATTATAGCTGATATACCTCTACTTACAAAGTTTAAATATGTAATATAACTTTGCTTAATCTGTGATAAAACCATCAAAAATTATACAAGAATAAGATGGCTTTCTCTGAAAGTTACAAGGAAGGAAATTTGAAATTCTACATATCTTAGAATGGTGATCATAACAGGATTCAGCGTGCAGGTCATTTTATCAGAATTATCTGAAGTATTTGCAATTTACACTAACTGCAGAGAATGATTTGAATTTTATTTTATGTAGTATGCTTACCCTTCATTTATTCCTAAAGCAGTATGTTTGCTATACATATATACATCACTTTTAGAGCACAGATGTAACAAGACCATGCTGCCATTCAAAATTAAGGTGCCACAGTTTTGTTTTGTTTTTACAACAAATGGCATCCAAAATGCAATATATCTTCACAGATTGGCATTGACGAGTGAGGTTGGTCACAATGGAATGGGATTTTTTTATAGAAATGGGAAACAATGTATCATAAATATACAGACCAATATATAACATTGAAGAATAAGAAGCAGAACGGAAACAATGCTCTTGCATAAAGGTCGATTCTCTTCGCTGCTGTTGGAATTACGGGTTTGGCGGGGGGAGGCTTCTTGTTGCTCTTTGCCTGTGATTTCCCAAGTCCATTGTTGACTTCGATAGGTTTCCCGTAGCAGTCATAATTGGATAATTCAAAATCTCTTGGCAAGCTCCCCACAATGCTGAAGTCATTAGATCTCAGGTCAGACTTAGAAGTACAAACTTTTTTGCATCTGTTCTCACCAACCTGAACATAAAAATTAAACACAGAGTGTATTTAGAATTTCCTATTTATAAAACACATCTCTCCAAAAGGATATTTTAAAAATCAGATGTAAAAGACAACTGGTTAAACCATCAGATTGCCTGAACATTTAACTCTAAAATGTGGCCTCTTTCAAGGTTTAGGTCATGGAATGAACTTTGATGGGTTATTTTATGTTAAGGGATCAAAATGCAAATAAACATTTATCTTGGGTGCTCCCAGGCTTGTGAGTTCTCAACTGAAAGACCAATGAATAAAAATCCAATATTTAATCACAACACAGACCACATTACTACAATATATGGATTGCAGAAATCTTCCGGTACTGATAAGCTTTGACTTGGGGACACTATTTCCAAATAAGGTGGTTTGTAAATGGTAAAGGTATTAACCACCCCAAAGAGACAGATTTTTGTCTCTAAACCACACTCACAAATAAGAACTAAAATATGGTCACAACTACCATGAACCAAAGCTTTGCTAATGAAAAGAATTCCTAACTTGTTGGCTAAAGTTGAATTAGCAAATGACGCGCAGAGAACCTGAAGAAATGGTGCATATTTTAGCCAGAGTGCATGCTACAGACATTATTCTGTTCCAGACAGAAGACCGCATTTAAAGTTCTAGGTTTCCAGGGCTGTCTGAGGAATGTGTAGTCTCAGCATGTATCAGTGAGTTTTTGTAAAGAGTACATAATTACCTTGATTGGAAGACACATTGAGGACAGACTCTACATACCAAATACTCGCATTATCCTCAAACTATCAAAGCAGTTTTCAAAATCTGACACACGGTGGATATCCCACACTTTCTCCCTTTAGAATTCTCCACTCCAAAAGCTTTAGATGCACTCACTTTACTTTAGATCCATTCATCAAAACAAAGAACTCTAGCTTTAAACTTAGAAAGTATGACTTCTTACCAGTTATTTTTATTTTTCACAAAAAAGCCACATGTATTTACTATAGCAATGCATTTACTGTAAATGATATTTTATATGTGGCTTTTGTATCTGTAAATAACTAAACAAGAAGCCAAATTTATGTGATGTTAGGACTTGTCACATAAAAATACTTCCAATTGTTTTTATTTACATAAATTTTAATTCTTTTTATTTATATAAAAATATTTACATAAATGTATTTTTATATTCTAGCAATTTTAATGATGTTAGAATTTTATCTATATAGTTTATTCAAATGTAGGTATAGAATATTTATTCAGAAATATTATTTAAATATAGTAAACATGTCAGTAAGAGAAGAATGATTTCTTCAATGTTAACACATATAGCATATAAAAGCACTCCAAAAAGTTTCAATTTGGTTATAATAAATTTTTAACTATTTATTTTGTTAAAACATTTTCTGGAGATGTATTTGAAATCAGTGTGTGTGTGTGTGTGTGTGTGTGTGTGTGTGTGTGTGTGCACTTTGGTGGAAAGAACCTCTATCTATTACAGAAGTAATTTTTAATGATATGACACAACTAAATAAGGTATAAGATTATGTTTCCTCCTGAGAAATTCTCAGGTTCCTTAAATAGCTCATGATTCATTAACAAATTGGCTGATCTCATCTTGCCCCTTTCATCAGAAATTTTAAACAGAAAACTTCCTTTTTTTAATTACTCTCTACACATATGTATCATTTATATGTACATAAAAGTATAAAATAGTTTATAATATAAACACTATTTTAAACAATTATCACATGAAGAGGGATTCAATAAAGTGCTTATAAAAGAAATAGTAACCCTAGTTATTAACGCATTCTTAAAAGTGATCTTGATTATATTAATCTCCAATTTATAATTTCTCATTATTTTCTCATATGGGTCTCACTTTCATATAAACTTGTCACTTCTCAAAATTACTGGTAGCAAAAATGAGGTAGTATAATAATGAAACTGTAAAAAATAAAAAATAATGCAGATTTAAAACCACCTAATGCTTCAAATTTTAACCTCTGAGGTTTTCCTTCTGATTCTTTTCAGTCTGTGTCTATACACATTTAACGGCAAATCACCTTTTATGATGTTTCTTGAGCAGAAGACTTAGGCACGATTTCAATGTGATAATGGTATTTCCACAGAAGATAAAAATATGCTCAAAATGAATAAACTCTATATATTACACAAAATTTAAATCAACATTTAACTTTAAAAACACATCATTCCTATAAACAACTATTTTATTCATGCATGAACGACAACTTTTATATATGAATTTATCCAAATCCATAGACATGAATACTATTTTGTCTTTTATTCAAAATACCTTTGTTGTAAATAGCACATACTTGGTATTAAGAACAGGATGATATTGACAACAGTAGGTCCTTAACTGTACTTATTAAATAAAAAAGAAATACATGAGTTAACAAATTAGTAACCAAAATTTAGTAACAGCTGAAGAAGTACAAAATTTAGGGAGGGAAAACTTAGACAATTATAAATGAATAATGGTATATTTCTGTATGTAGTCAAAATTAGGAAGTTATGAAAACTTCTTACTAAAAGCTAGGTTAAATTATCATTGATATTTCTTAAATTTTTTTTATCATTATGTTTCTTAGCAAGAACATTATTAAAAAATCAGCATTAGCCCAGCTGGTGTCCCACAGTGGTGGAGCATCAAACTATGAACCAGAAGGTCACAGTTCGATTCCTGTTCAGAGCACATGCCCAGGTTGCAGGCTTGGTCTCCAGTGGGGGGTGTGCAGGAGGCAGCCCATCATAGATTCCCTCTCATCATTGATGTTTCTATTTCTCTCTTCCTCTCCCTTCCTTTCTGAGATCAATTTTTAAAAATCATCCTTAAATGTTTTCTATAACCCAAATTTCATTATGCTCCCATTAATATTGTTATTCTGTCTAAAAATAAATGACATATCTGATTGAAATTACTCAGCCAAAGCAAAATGTTCCGAAAGCAAAATACACTAGAGCAAATACATTTTGAAACCAAAAGCACTAAATTAAAAAGGCAAAAATTGTTTAATTTCTTTTTTATACTTTTTTCATGTGTCAATATGTAACAATCTTACAAGTTTCTCACACACATTTACTGTAAGTTTGATGCTTACATTAAAGCTAAATTATTTTTGGACATATTCTCTCATTTTGAAGCCTGTCTGATGATACAAACATTACATAGTTACAATATTAATTTTGGAAATTGCATTTTGGCCTGTAAGAAATAAGAGTAATTTACATTTTCATCTGGATATTAGAATTTCTAGTCAACATTTAAACTCTCTAAGCATCACTCTATCACTTTTGTAGTAAAATGTCATAGCAATTATAGAATCCAGACAGGTCTGTGTCTATTAGCAACTGAAAACATAGAGGATTAAAATACAGAAGTTATTATATACTGAACTTTTATTCATTAGGTAATTATTTCAATGCTTAAAAGCTGAATTTAAAATAATATAACTCAGTCTAATACTCTGGATCCTATTTATTCTTCATATTTATGGTCATAAATAATCTTGATATGTTCTACAGTGCTCTGAAAATCTGGTTCTCATGTGTCTCCTTCCCTCAATGCCCCACTTCATGGAATGCATTAAGATTCCAAGCTCATCTGCACATTGGTGTTCTGTGGGACTAGAGAATTTCTGCAGTTACAGAGGCCCCACCACACACTAGAGAATGGAGCTGATTGTGGCACTCCTGAAATCAAGCACCTGCTCTACAGAACATCTTTGCTTCCTATCTCCAGATCTCTTCACCAGGATCCAAGTTAGAGGGCAGATTAGCTGGTTGGAAATATGAGGAAGTGGTAAGATTGGGAGCTCTAAGTGGGCAGGTAAGTCATGTCAAAGACGTGACTTCTTTTTTAAAAATATGTTTTTATTGATTTTAAAGAGAGAGGAAGGGGTAAGGATAGAGAGGTAGAAACATCGATGAGAGAGCTACATCAGTCTGTTGCCACATGTCTACAACCTGGGCAGTGCCCTGACCGGGAATTGAACCCGTAACCTTTGGGTTCATGAATTGACACTCAACCACTGAACCACACAAGCTGGGTAAAGACATTACTTCTTTAAGGCCATGATAGCTCTCCATTAATGAAAATGTTATTCCTTATGAAAATGATTAGAGTATTAAAGAGTTATAAGGTCTGAAGAAATGTCCTGCAAAGTAGCAACTAATAATTTGCAGAAGTCTTAGTTGTAGTCTCAGAAAGTGTGTTCAATTACTTAGCAAAAAAGGAAAAATCTGCAGGCAGCATCACATAAGGATTGTTTGCTTGCTTTTGTACATAACAATACGTATGTAGCATACTTATCTCATTTAGAGGAGTGGTCAACAAACTGAGTCGCATGGGGCCAGAAAACAGACAGAGCAAGCAAAAGTTTCAAGGTTCTAGAATGCAATATACCAATAGTCTCTTGAGGAATTTTCCATGCTAAGCTCAGTGGAAATCATCTATTGGTTTATTAGTCTTCCCAACCAGAGGACATCAATTAGAGACACTTTGGGGACACTATCCTAATCCATGAAGTAGCCTGTTCCTTCAGGATTTATCAAACCCGAACCTACAAACATCAACCACTATTCCTAGACCTATGATCAAGGACAAGACAACGTGAAAGAGTGAAACCTGTCCAATTCTCCAGGCATTCACCTCTAAGCTGGGCAGATCTCAAACTATGTGCTAGTGTCCCTGTGAGCCAAGCACCCAATAAGTAAGTAGCCTGCCTGTCCTGTTCTGGGTGAAACTCTCTAAATTGATGGGAAACATGTAGGGGGATTTAATCCGGAGCATAGCTCCCCTAAGTCTTCACTGTAAGTAGAAGGTTGGTGCTTCCCCAACAGTCCTCTGGCCTTTCACTAAAGCTTACAAATGAGAAACATTTGTAAGGCGGTCTGTAGTTTTGGCAAGACCTCCACATGGGATGGTGACCATCAACGCAGAGATACATCATTAAACTCAGTGGAAAGTCCACCAAAAACATGATAAGGTGTTGGACATTTTTTCTTAATGAGTATGTGACCTACATGGTTTCTGGTTGCTTTCCAAAAAGTATGTAGTGCTTAGTTTCTTTTCATCAATGAGAAAAAATGAGTAAATGCCAATTCGATCAAACATTTACGCCCACAGAACAGTATCTCTCTCCTGGCACTAGAGAGCCATGATGGGGGAAATCATCTGGTTGGATAATTTCATTCTTACCTGCAAAGTGCTAATGTGAACCGGAGTCCCTGTACCATTCACAGTATTCTTTTTAGCTGCATTTCCACCTTTTCCATCTGCTTGCTCAGCCTTAGCAATTCTGGCTTTTTCTGCTTCAACTCGTTTGGGGTTATTTAGCATCACCTGGACAACAGCATACTCCACAAGGGAGGCAAAGCCAAAGAGAAGACAAGCAATGAGCCATACATCAAGAGCCTTCACGTAGGAGACTTTGGGAAGTTCAGCAGCAAGGGTTGTGCACTCAGAGGCCAAGCTGAGTACTGAAAAGATACCTACAGAAACAGAAGTGGGAATTAAAGTTGCTATTTAGCCCTGCGAAAAAATGTCCTGCAACCATTACTCTTTAACTAACTCCCTCTCCAATAAGCTCCAGAAACCCATGAACAACTCATCAGGTCCCTTTAAAGCACAAAGAGTAGAAGAAATAATACACACAGACTTTTTATGTCAGCATTATTAAATGTGTTTGGGGGTGTTTGTCAATACTCAGTAAACAAAGAAATAGAAATTTAAACGGAGACATAAAAACACCTTTTGGAGCTGGTTTAAATATTAAAGCTCTCTAAAACTCTTCTCTAGTATCTCTGAAGAAGCTACCAAGCTTAATTCGTTTCTTTAGCATTCTTTTAGACAATTACAGAGTTGAATTTGATCCCACGAACTACTGAATCCGAACAAAAATAGAACATATAAAGCAATTTACTGATAAGGGTCACAGTTTTTTTAAATGTAATAGGAAAGACAAAGTAGAGAACATTCCTGGTTATTTTAGAGAAAGCAAATGATTCCGGTTTTAAAGGAAAGAAGGAAATTCTGCTAAATGTAATATTAACGGTACATGGAAAGCTAACTCCAAAGTACCCCTGGGAGCCAGACATTTCTTTATATTTTATTTTTTCATTAATTTTACTGGGGTGAGACTGGGAAACAAGATCACATATGTTTCAAGTGTCTATTTCTAGGATACATCATCTGTAGGTTGCTTCATGTGCTCACCACCCAAAGTCAAATCATCTTCTGTCACCATATATTTGGTTCTGTTTACCCTTTACTACCCCTCCCAGGCCCTTCCCTCTGGTAACCGCCATTCTGTTGTGTGTGCCTGTAAGTTTCAGTTTTATATCCCACATACAAGTGAAATCATAGGGTTCTAGCTTTTTCTGACTGACTTATTTTGTTGCCACAAATGGCAGTATTACATCTTCTCTTATGGCTGAGTAGTATTCCATAGTATATATGTACTGACATTTCAATTTATACAGAGCAGGGCAAAAGTAAGTTGTTCACATGGAAAAAGACATGCAAGTTATGATTGTTACAGTAGCTTTGTTAACTCAAAAGAATGCCACAATGGCACACACACAAAAAACCTACTTTTGCTCACCCCTGTGTTACTACATGAGAGTAAAATATTTCTAGTAAACCAAAAAATATTGACTATTTGGGGGGGGGTGCATAATGTTTTTGACTAGTCTAGTAATTTAAGTCTAGTTTTGGGTGTTTTATTGCCAGAACATTATACTGCATAGTTAACTCTTATCCTCTACAATAATTAATCTATCAATTGTCATTGTCTTCAATACTGAGATGTGACCCTTAGAATAAAATTTCCTACACGTTTGGTTATTAAGACATAGATTTGGTCTCTGTGGTTGTTATTAGATGTAAACCTCCAAGTTTCTTATTCAGACAATGTTGTCATTTTCATTGCTTCTTTCCTGGTTTCCTTCTTTTCAAAATCTATAATTCATTTAATTATTCCTGTAAGTTGGAACAGGGAGATTTGCACCAGGCTTTTCTGATGGAAGAAAAAAATGAAATTCTGCAACTGATCAGTCACTGAGAAGTCAGATATATCACATTTTTACCTATGTGAGTTCTAGGTGATATTCAGAACATACACACATGCATGCACATACACAGTCATGAAAAGATTTAAAACACTCCTAACAAACACTCCAAACAAAACGTCCTTACTTTGAAATTCATTCACTTTACCCATTAGAACGGCTCTTGATGATCTCCCTAAGCACAGACCTTTTAGTCCCTGTACCGACGCGATTTTCAACTCTGGCTAATGGTGCTTCCATGTCACAGAACATTAAAAGTAACGATTGGAGAGTATGGAGAACCAGCCCTTACTCTTTCTAGCCACTGCTGGTGATATAGCACAGTGACGGCGAACCTTTTGAGCTCGGCATGTCAGCATTTTGAAAAACCCTAACTTAACTCTGGTGCCGTGTCACATATAGAAATTTTTTGATATCTGCAACCACAGTAAAACAAAGACTTATATTTTTGATATTTGTTTTACATATTTAAATGCTATTTAACAAAGAAAAATCAATCAAAAAAGAGTTCACGTGTCATAGGTTCGCCATCACTGATATAGCATATCATAACTGATGTTTAGCAAAGTGATGCTTAGTCATTTTTTTTTATAAAAAGAAGTAGGATTTTATATCCCTGACAGAGAGTATAAGATAGTATAAAATATTTATTGGGAAGATTTTCATAAAAGTTATTGTTTTTAAGTTTGTCACTATTTGGGAATTTAGATTTTAGATTTTAGTTATCAGTGAATATCACATATTAATAATTATTTTATGAAAGTCAAAGTAGGATAGATTTACTGTTAAAAATGTCCCAAGGACACACACACACACACACACACACACACACACACAAACTTAGCTTAATTAGAATGCCTAAATATTGAGAAAATCTAACTTAATGGCACGTTTTAAGGAGGTTAAAAAAAAAAGGAAGAAAAAGCTTGCCATCAACTCCCAAACTAATTATTTCAAAATATTTGACTGTACAGTTAGTTCACTAAAGACATCACACATTCCTGACACCAGAGGGAAGCATGGAGCACTTTACCCAGCGGCACTCTGGCAGCACTGGCGTCCGGGTTGATCCAGAAGGAAAGCCAGGAGAGAACCACGATCAGCAGGGTCGGGGCGTAGACGCCCATCATGTAAAACCCCACCTGTCTCCGCAGGGTGAAGATGACTTCCACACAGGTGTAGTACCCTTCCGAAACAAACGTATTAAAACATGAGGTTCTCACCCACATCCAACTTCAGAAATCAGTAAGGTACCTATAAGTTATGTTACCTCTATTTGAGGCAGTTTCACAAAGTCAACTATATTGTGTGTGTGTGTGTGTGTGTGTGTATGTGTGTGTGTGTGTGTGTATGGTGTGGTCTGTATGGATGACACTATAGGGCCAGTTTCACCTGACCTTTCACAACTTCACTATGACATTGAGAAACAGATACCAATGTGTGGCTCCACTTTCATCACTGCCTTGGCTAGAAGCCTTTGTTCAGAGAATTTGCAATGGACTTAAACTTCTATTTACTCTCTGAGCAAATGATCTCAAGGAATCATACAGGGAGCAATAAACCAAATCCGGACAAGTCCAGAAAGAAACACTCCTGAACTACATGTGGTCAGTATAATTTTTCACCCGCATCTATCACTTCTTATCTATAAAGCAGGGCAGTCTCCTACACTTATATGCATATTGAAGCCTTAAAAAGTAAGAATGTATTGGAAGTAAACATAAGCGAGAATAAGTGTTTTCATTTTATTTAGATAGAATATTATAAAGTACAAGCATCTGAGATTCCTCTCAATTCTCCCTTCCTCCACTCCAGGTTCTCAAACATTCTCTGACTGAGGGAAAGGACTTCATTTTCACAAGCTGAGATAAATGCAGACATTTCTTTACAACATAATTTTGGAGCTGCCATGACATCAACTAGTTCCCCCAAATTAATCACAAATTATGAGCAGCCTCATAATAACTATTGCTGACTTGAGACAGAAAATAAGTGACGTAAATAGTCTCCTAACACTGGAATATTTCCAGATGTTTGTATTTAATTTTTAAATGCTTTAGTACTTTCAGTCAGCAATTTAAGTGTGATATTTAATGCCTAAAGCACTAAAATTAAATTTAAATGTCATTTACCATTCAACCAAAGTAAGGTTATGTACAAATACCAAGAAGTTAAAATATCTTCAGTTGTGTTCAGCCTAAACTGTACATTGTTATTTATAAATGTTGAAACAAATAAATTAACAATGAATAAATAAAATAATATAGGAAAAGGACAATATTACTTTTTACTATTTTACATTTAAAAAATAATATTTATCTATTTTTCCCGGTTATAAAGAATGTATACACTTCTGACACTAGAACAATCTTCATATTTATTCAATAATGGTACTTATAACAAAATTTGCTATCATTAGAGCTAACATGTAAGAACAATAATTAGCTGATTTGGGCTGAAGCAAATTCTAATTATGCCACATGTGTCCAGATTATCAAAAAACAATAAATGCAGAATGTTTGTTCTTTTTCTTTTTAAATTTTAATTTCATGAAAACTAGACACAGGTTTTAAAAGATACAAAAGGCAATAAACTAAATAAAATGTCCCTCCCTTTTCTGTTTCCAGCCACTCATCTTAACTTCCTGCCCAGACAAACAAGAACACATGTTTCTAACTAACAATCACATGCAAATTTTCCAAAATATAATCTTTCATAAATCCAATATGCTACAGTTAAGAAGCTCACAGTATTTCCCACAAGAGGTTCTGAAGTACCTGGCTTTGTAATGTATCACTTAAGTTAATTTTATATTCATCTAGTATGTGAGAGATAGGGAATGACACAATGTGCTTATGTATTTTTAGGTAGCCCAAGTAGTCAGAAATATGACAATTTACTATAGAGTTGTTCGCTTTAAGACAAATTTTTGCATTCCATCCAGCCATGTTTAAATGACAGCCTAAATAACACAAGTCCTGTATTCTAAAGCAAGTTTCCACCACGTTCCCTTAGGAAGGCTCTGGGGGAGCTTCCCAAGATCTGGACGCATTTGGCAGTAAAGTACAGGCTTGGATATTATCGCGATTTGCTCCATAAACTTTTATGAGAAACATTTCTTGACCTTTTTTGATCTCTTCCTGGTACTGTTACATTTATGAGAGGCAGGTGGGCAGCTAATTGATATAAATGTTCATTGGCAAATTCAATTTATTTTCTATTTCCTGTGGGATTTCATTTCATTATTATTCACTCAGGCTTCCAATTTAAGTATTTTTGTATACTTGCTTTCCCACATATTTCTCCACCTTTGCAGTTTCTACAATTATTAAAACAATTTTTAATCAAATTAAAGCTAATTCATCATTTCTGATATTTCTGTACACATTAAGGAATATTTAGGCCATTATTTTATATATGTTGTTCTCTATATCTTTTTCACTACTTGATTAAGCATACCATATGTTTTGAATGTTCTACTTTTCTAAGTATATTTCTCAATGTTATGCAAAGATTAATTTATGATTTACTTATATTCATATGATTCATGTAAATGCTGATAAAGCATGTTTACTGAAACACAATGCCAACTATTTTTATATTAACTTTAAGTTTTTTGTTATCATTTCTTCTGTAACTAATGAGATAGCAGGGACTTATTTATGATAACAAAAAATTCTACAAAAGGCTTTACTTTTCATAAATCTTGAGTAATTCTTCAAGTACTCTCTACCACAGCACACCTTTTCATTTTTTTCTCAGAACTAAAATTAACTATATCTGTTTATTTATATACCATATTAGAGTATGGATCTATAAAAGGACATCGTTCTCTCTTTTATTCACTGTTGAATCCCCAAATGGGGACTTTTAAATGAAGGAATTAAAGGTAAAAAAAATTAAAAACCCCATAATTTTCAATGCTGGTCCTTAATTTTATGCTATTACTTAAAATTAGAAATAAGATTACTAGTTTTATTTTCATCTCTAGATGAATTTTAAAACTTCAATAAACGTATTATATTTTTTGAAAACAATAGACTGTTAATGTTAAGCATATAATCTGAATGTGGGTAAGTATTGTTAAAGTCCAATAGGACTGACTCCGCAGGTTGTGTAGTGATGTCAGACTCACTATCCTAGGACATCATTTAGTAACAGTAGACTTTGGGCAGTTTCTTTGCTTCATTATCCTAATGTGTAAACAGGGAGAATACGGTAAAAGTAATGAACTCAGAGCATTGTTGTGAGGACTAAGTCATAGAATTCCAACAAAGCAGTTGAAACAAAGCCTAAAATAGAGCCAGAACTCAAAAAGCCATCTGCTAAATATGTGTTTTCACAACCATCTCAAATGATTTTTCTTGACTTTCAAGTTTTTTTTTTATTATAATTACTAGGTGAATTGTAAAAATCCCTAAAACTGTAGTCAGTCTCCTTAATTTGAATGGGGAGTATAGAGAGAAGGAATACTATACTATATGCCTAGGCTATGGCTGACCCTGATTTGCCTGGTGACATTCAGTCACCCTGCATCTCAGTTATTTTATTTCAGTATCAATCTGGTCCCTTCTATATTTAAAATTCTATGTGTCTATGATTTTCTCATTGAGTACTTACATGACCACTTTTTTAGTTTTGCCTTTCAAAAAACTTTTAGTATTTTTTTTCAGTTTTGCCTTTCAAAAAACTTGTTAATTATTTTTTATTATCAAAGTATAGTTGAGAGTCAATATTGTATTAGTTTCAGGTGTACAACATAATGATTCCACATTTATAAACTTTACGAAGTGATCACCATGATAAGTCTAGTAACCATCTGTCACAGCACAAAGTTATTATAATCTTATTGAATTACATTCACTACCAGTGGTCGGCAAACTCATTAGTCAAGAGAGCCAAATATCAACAGTACGACGACTGAAATTTCTTTTGAGAGCCAAATTTTTTAAACTTAAACTATATAGGTAGGTACATTGTTCTTAACTTAATTAGGGTACTCCTCAGGCTTAGGAAGAGCCACACTCAAGGGCCCCAGGCTATACATCAGACAAATTATATAACATTTATATAAAAATTGACTATATACCATTTATATGTAAGTAGTTCCTAAGGACTATTCATTTATTTGAAGATCAACAACAACAGATGTTTAAACTAAACTTTATCTCTGAGTTGCCTAGTGTTGCATTTATTATAACACTCAATATGCAAATGTCACTCCACCTTTTATTTTAAAATCAACAGAAATATTTTAAATTATATTTTGTTCTTGATGATGTCATGATGGCAACACTTTAGCTCAAACATTTGATATTGCTGAATTCTATATATTACACTATACATTGTTATTTTTGAACAGTCAACATAGATGTTGCCATAAATGTAAACTTTATATCTATCCCTGAATATCTTTGTCTTGATTTACTTCCTGAAATGTAATTAGAATTGTGTGGCATTTACAAATCAAACTGATTATTAGTATTAATTAATAATCAAAAATCAATCACTTTTTATTTATATTGCTAATCAAAATAACACTATATTTAATATGTAAAATCACTCAGTAACATATAACTATCAGTAAAGACTCAAAGGTTAAGACTAATCATATTATAAAAGTATTGAGTAGTGATTACTGTATTTTTATTTCTGTAAAAGCTTGAGGTAATTAATGAATGAGGTTAATTTGTTGTGCTTTTCATATTTGGCCGTTCCATAACCTAGGCCAATAATATTAAACGTACAAAAATATTGACTTATGTCCAATTACTTCACACACTCATTGCTTCTTGCATAGCATGAAGATTAATGCTTTTTACAACTAATAATATTGGTCAACCACCCCCTAAAAATTGCTCACAGACAACAGATGAGTATAAATGAATTATGTCGCTCATATCCACAGTGTTTGGTCCCAAATTGAATCTTGCTGAAAGTAGAATTTCTTCATAACATCTAGAAAACCACTACCTGGCTAAGTTCATATTACTAAAATAAAAAATTGAAAACCTCTTCCTACCCAGAATTACATTAAAAAAGGCAAAATTCTCCAGTAATAAAAATGTTTTTTAAAAACTTTAGTGAATGCAATTTTAGGAGAAATTTAAATATAATATTGTAAAGATATACTAATAAACATTGAACTTATTTTTAATTAGTTTTCTTCTATTTTGCCCTTAGCATATATTAATATTAAAACAGATCTTTGAAATAGGATTTAGTTTTGTTTAACTTAAAGATCATTACTTACCAGTGCCTTTATAGTATTTTGTACAGTTACCATATTCAATATCCTCCTTTTTAATATCAAATTGAGGCAAGGCAATTTTTTCTAACTGAACAGGATCCCCGGACTGCCAGATAAATCGTAAATCATCAGTTGTGTAACCAACTATAAACAAAAATAAATAAAAATATTAGTTTGAAATGCAATTATTAATGCTTTCTTAGCATTTTAATAATTCAAATATTCAACACCAAAATGATAAGAAAAAAGACATGAAATTGTTATTAAAATTAGGTAATATCTATAGCCACTGATGAAAATATTAACACAAAAGTTAAAGATAGTTGTCTTAAAGAAAGAACATGTTAAAATAATCAGCATCTACACTAATAA